GGAGAATTTCTTCGGTCGATGGCGGGGTTTGTCTTGGGTCACAAGAGATTTCAGGTGTTTGGGTCAAACTATGCAGGTATTGCATCAGTCTGGCATGCAGTGGGCCACCCTCGAAGAATTCCGACTGAGGGAGGGATCCAACAGCTTGTTTGTAGCGGCGCAAGGCAGTCCGTAGACAGTGATTTGGACCCAAGGCACCTGCAAGGACCTTGATTGAAGCATATTGAAGAGAAACTGTTAGAATCCGGAGGATGATCCGAGCCGGTGCGCGACCCGTATCTCTGGCATGCAAAAATCGACGTGCAGGTCGGTTATGCGGTGGGGTGGCTCAGACGCGGTGGATCTGGGGAGAGTCTCCTGGATCTATCAAAAGAAATCATTAATCGAATCATCCCTCTTGGATAGTTCAAACATCAGGAAAGTCTCATCCCAACACTTCCCTCGTTCTTTGCCCATTTGCTGGTCTTTGCTTTGTGGCTGTCCGAGCCAACCGATTCGTGTTTTCCCCTCCAGAAAACCGAACCTCTGGAGTCTTCAGGCTGGACCATGGACTGCGAGGAGTCAGAGGGACCTTCTGTCGGACGGGCCCACCCTGGGCAACCACTGACCACCTTCCAGCCCACCGCACGACGACGCGCCGGCGTTCCTCTGTCAGACCGTCCGACCTCCCCCGAAAGGCAAGAACATCCGACAGCCGGGAAGAAAGCACCCTGCGAGAACCCCTGTTTTGGGTCAAAGAGACCCAGACACCGACCGCGAGAACCCAAGAAGCCGAGTGTCGTGTTGCACTGAGCGACCGGGGACGATCTCGTCGGTCGGTCGCTCGGCAGGTGCGCACCGTCTTCGTGTCCTTGACGTTGCCGGCCTCGGCCGGGGGCGCTCGGATGGACCCAAAATTGGGGGGGGCGGACGAGGAGGACGGACTTTGGGCATGGAGGACAGTTGGGCATGTCTTTTTCATGTTTGGACCTGGGTTTCTTGGGGCCCGACCGACCTGGCTACGTACATGAAGCTCAATGGATGGAGGAATTGCTGGTGCTCAAGACATGGGTTCCATGAGGATGGTTCATTGATGGGTGCCACATCCGAAAAAACAAGGGGACATGCAATGGCAGTCTGGGACCGAGACGACCCAGGTGGAACGGCTGGGTTTGATGCTCCGCAGCAGGTGGGTGTGATCCTGTCTGGCTGGCTCTTCAGTGGTTTCATCCAGGCAGGCCGCTTCCGCACCGAGACCCGGACCGGACGAAGAAAAGAACGTCGCTTCGATCCTGATCGCACCAGGGGGGGTAGGAGCAAGAAGCTACTAGGAGCAAAGGGCATCGCTATTAGGGGCTCCTGGCCATACTAGGAACAAGAAGCGATTAGAAACAAGACATATATAGATAGAATTAAAAGTAATTCGAATTAAGTTTAACAGTTTAATTAGAGTTGAATTAGAATTGGTAGCAAAGGAAGAGACCAACCTTCAGGGAGAAAGTCCCCGTGCCACCCTCGTTTGCGTGTCCAGTGTCGGTCAACGGTGGCAAATAGGTTTTCCCTTCAAGAAGGTGATGCAGATGTCTCAGATGTCCACCAAGCAGATGCCGTAGGTAGGAGAGTAAGGGGTTTGAGTATAGGGAAAGAGTTGGCAGTTGATTTGACCTTATCATTGCACGACTTCCAACAGCATACGATCGGTTTTGGCAACACCTACGACCGGTTTTGACGTCGGGGTGGATGAAGCGACATTGTCAATGACAATCTCCTGTGGAGAATTGATGCAGAGGAAGCGGGGAGTGTTGGACACAATATTTCCAAACTTGTCCACACAAGGGCACCTGGCATTTTGAAATCAGGATCAATTCTTGGGGCCACCTGCTTAGCTGCGCTTTCTTTTTTTCGGCCCATCTTCACCGACCCCGGCACCGGGTGCCGCCGGCCAGTTCATCTCGAACCCAGGCCTTTCAATGGGTCGGTCTGTCGGACGGGTGCAGGATGACATCTTCTTCGGGCGCGACATGCTCCAAGAGCTGTCCTTCTTCTTAGTGCTGCTGACCGCTGGCCTAGGCGAAGCGAAGTCGAGTTGTGTGCGAAGCCTGTGGAGTGGAGTGGAGTGGAGTTCCAGAATGCTATCCATCCCCTGGATGGGAGGAGACATGTGACTCACTGGTTTTCTTTTTCTTTGTTCTGAGACAAGAGGGCCATGAGGGTCATTGCCATGACGGCCATGGCATCGTTCGGCCATTGAGCGTCTGAAAAAAGCGGTGGAGCAGTTCTAGGAGTCCACCATGGGTGGAGCAGTTCGGGTTTGCAAGATGTTTGCACTCCACGGAGTTTTTCAGATCAGGAACTTGGGTCACGAGATGTACGAGATGTGCTGCTTCCGGTTTCACGGATCACAGATGATGTGCTGCTTCCGTGTTTGACTCATGTTCCCTTCACTCAATGCTGCATTCACTCGCCTAATTGGGGTAAAGGGGATGTAGTGGGTGTAGCATAAATCATATATCATGAGTCTGTGAGTCAAAAACCTTCCCACCAAACTATGGTAGGTTCATCCTTATTATAGAGGAATCTGTTCATTTTGGGTGGTCAAGCAGGCTGCCTGGGTTTTGACCCACAGCCATATCTTGTGATGGCTTTTTTGGTCCGAGAAACGGATCGATGAAGTAAGACATTCCTGTGATGGGCAGCCAGGAATTGAATTCAACATTAGTCAATTTCCTGCAGAAAGCTTTCGTGTTGGCAGTTGCTGTAAGCTGGATATCATCCAAGCCTATCAGCTGGCATGGATTGAATTTGATTATGAATGCGATTGAATTTGATCATGTTCACATGTCCACATGCGAGAGCGGCCTGCTCGGCCGCTCGGTTCCTCGGTCTCTCGCTAAAAGCTCTCCAGGCATCTCCCTGCCAAGCCTGAAGTGGCAACACTTCGCCCCAAGCCCAGAAAAACGAGGGAGAGGCCAAGAGAGAGAGAGAGAGAGCTGGAGCTAGCTGGAGCTAGCTGGAGCTTTGGAGCTGCTAGGCTCAAACGAAATGGACCAGTGAATGCAGTGGATGGTTTCCCTCCAAACTCCCTAGAACACCTTCCAAAAGACGACCGTGCTTGTGTGTTGATATTTAGCAAAAGCCTCCCCGATTGTGCCAAAGACCCGGCGGACAACGGTGTCCTCTTTTTTAACCCCGCTCCCATGTGCCCTTTGACCCCAGCTGTGAGTGCAAGCGCCATGAGGTCTTGGCCACTGTGCCCTGCACACTGGAGCTTGTGGCCATCGCTGCTTATGCCGTGGCGTGGCATTGTATTATAAATTATAAAGTTTAGAAACGTGTTCTTTTTGGGGAACAGGAGGGGCTTTCGTGTCAAAAGAGAAGGAGCCGACGGGAATCATATTGCATGGTTGATTCTTCGGGTGTTTGTGGAGTGGAACATTTGCTCAGGGTGGTTGCTCAGGGTGCTTTTGTTTGGCATTTCTGGCTTCGAGAAGAGGGGGCGAAACCAACGCACCGACCGATTTCGGGACGCAGAGAACTGGGAACGAACGAACCCTGCCAGCCTGCCATGGCGTGCGTGCGTGAACCCGTTTCGTCCCACCTCAACGTGCTGAGGTACGGTATTTGAGTTATACCTGGGCGGAAGGGCTGGCCGGGATGCCTGGGCCGGCGTTTGGTCTGCCTGGGCCGGCGTTTGGTGGTTTCCGAACCCATTGAGGCCCTGATAGGTCCAACCCTGTCCAGAAGTTGGGGGACCTTGGGGTCTCGCTGCTGTGGAGATTCAGTGAAGCCACCGACAGAGCCGACAGAAGCGGCAGATCTTGGGAGCATTCCCAACCTTTTTCAGCGCAACCATCGGATTTGACCTGCGCGGAGCTTCAAGATGGCAACCATTGGCTTCTCATGCACTTGTTGCAAGTCTGAATACATCTTAACCTTAACACAACTACCGCACATTTTTCCCTTTAGAACTCAAACATCTACAGTCTCTTTATGTCAACCTCCGGGATGTCCCCCAAACGTGCCCAACACACACCCCGCCGCTCGACCGAACGCAGCAACCGCCCCCTCGACCGGTCCACCGCCTACTTCTGCCCGCGCACGGCGTCGTCCTGTTGCCGCACGGTGTCGGCAGAACTTGGGCACGGTCTTGGTGGCGATCGGCGACGGCCTGGTGATTCCGAAGATGAAGGAGTTTCGGGGCCCAAGCGGGGGTGGGGGTGGGTCTGGTGGGGGGTGGAAGGAGTCGAGGTCGAAGCGTCGAAGCGTCGAAGCGCACGGGATCTCCAAACCGCATAGCAGGTATAACGCGAGGTCAAAAACATCCACCCTCTCAGGTCTATTCTCTCTCTCTCTCTCCCTCTTCCAGGACCTTCCAACAGGTGGTCACCTGTTGTCACCAGGAAACACCTGCTGGAGGGTCCAGGTTGAGGGATGGACGCCTTGCAGATCTTTTTTTCTCACGACGAGCACCGCAGGTCCTTTCGCCAAATCCCCATTCGTTGAGACGAGACTCCCCCCCAAACACTTCGGCTTGGACGGAAGCTCTTCGCACGGACGGATGCGTTGGGTGCAGATGCGTTGGGTTCAGCTTCCCAGTTGTTGGGCCCGCTTCCGGATGGCGGTCGTTCTTCGTTTGGGGGGGGAAGGGTTCGGACCGGACCTCCGCGCTGCGGACCGCCGCTGCTCAGGTTCCATTCAGACCATCCGCATCATCCCACGTGCGTGCCCGAGCTCTGCGCGGCACGTGCGTCGAGGTTCCGAAGACTCAGGAGATCTGCTCAAGGACGCCGCGGGTGGAGGGTCTTTGTTCTTGCTTTGAGAGAAACTTTTTTTAGTATGCTAGGTTCCGAGAAGACTCATAAGGTCCAACTCAAAACTGATAACGTCCATTTTTTGCTTAGAAGAAGAACAATAAGTGTTGATCACCCCGGACCAAGCACTGACCGGACCAAGGCCTTACTTAATGCTCTGTTGGGCTCCCTTGGAGGCGGGAGTGCTGGCGTTTGCCCACGTATCCGTGTGCAGGTCAAAGGAGCCGGTTACGTTTCATGAGTGATGGATGACTTGGTTTGTGCTGTTGGTGCTGTTGGAACATGACCCCTCGGTTGGTGGATGTAGGGCATGGAAGTCGAAGGCTTTGTGCTCTTGCAGACATGACATGGGAGCCATGGCACCATCCAATGACCCTGCCATCTTGGCCCAAAACCAGCTGTGGTGCTGGGCAATTCAGTTGTGTCTTGACTTCATTTTGCAACACCTTATTATATAAGGCTTGAACCATGGACATCTGGAACACCCTTCTCAGTGCTTGGTCTTCTGCGCATCCCTCAAGGATTTGCGGCCGCCCGAGCTGGAGCCCTCCTTCCTTTGGTGCCCCGTGTGACCTCCGCGCCATGAAGCGTCCCTCCGCAGCGGTCCAGGTCCGGCGGGGTGTGCTCCGCGCGGAGCACGCCCCGTCGGCCCCGCGCAAGGCGACGGGCGAGCTGTCGGTGGTGCCAAAGGACGCCTTTTATGCGTCCACGCGCGGGGCGTGGCGAGGGTGGCTGAAGAAGAACTTTGCTTCCAGGAGCTATATCTGGCTGGTCTTTCCGAAGAAGGCCCGGTTACGTCGGGCGGTGTCCATTCTGTGCAGAAAAAGGACTCGTCAGCACTCATTCCTATAAGTCCAAACCATTAGACCTTAACAAGGTTGGCATGAGGGCTTGCCAAGTAACAAGCAACGACCTCGGCTGAATAGATTCTTCAAGTGGTATCATGAATCATTACTATCATCGTAAAGCCACTCATTTGGGACTCTCTCATAAGCATTGGTCACCAATGGAATGTCCACCAAGAACGCCGCGACCTCTCTCTCGTTTGCTTCCAAAGGCTTCCGGGGCCTCTTCAGAGGCCCATCGTTGGACCAGGCCGGGCCCCTGCGAGGCCTCCAAGCTGCCCAGTGTCCGCTACAACGACGCCGTGGAGGAGGCACTGTGCTTCGGGTGGATCGATAGCACCTACCGCCCCCTGAGCGAGACGCTGGGCATGCAGCGCTTCACGCCGCGGAGGAAGATCGGGGAGAACTACTCGCAGCCCAACGTGGAGCGACTGCGCTGGGTGGATGCCAAGGTGGTGCGATCCGGGAGGGGGGCGGGGGGGCAGGATGAAGTGGAGGATTCTGGTGGTCTTGGAATTGGCGGGTGTTTGTGCTCGAAAGAAAAGCAGCTTGGCAGGATCCATGATCTGTTTGGCCGGGCCATAAGCCCAGGAATTGGGAATTCATTGGGGGCATCCGACCGAGTCAAGTCGTGTGTGTTTGGGTCGGATCTCACAAGCCGGGCCAGGGCTTGATCGAGCCCACAGTCCGGCCACAGATCTCGCACGTGCTGCGCTCGAAGTTCGAGTGGCCCAAAGATATCCTGGCTGCCATCGAGAGAGAGCCGGAGGCCGCCAGGCGGGGGAGCAAGTCCTTTTGGCTCAAAAGCAGAGAGATCTTTTTGGGGGTGCCTTCCGGGTGCTTGTTTTCAACATGTTTCATTCCAAAATTTGCATGTCATGGCCCCATGTACCGCGGGCCCCCGCCAAATGCATCGCAAGGGCCGCGAACTCGGAACGTCCAAGCTGGATGCTTCACTGCCCAACTGACTGTGTGGGTCATGAACGCTGTGCGTCTACGCCCAGCCCCCCCAGCCCGGCAGGTCTTGGAAGCGCTTCAGCGCCTCCTATCGGCGCATCCGGGTGGCGTGGGTGGAGCAGAAGCGCAAAAGTGATCCGGCAGAGTTCAAGAAGAGGCTCCGGAACTTGGTGCAGAAGACCAAGCAGGGCAGGCGGGGTGATGGGGCAGGCAGACGTTTTTGGATGTGTGGCAGGCAGAGTGGCTTTTGGGTGGTTTTGGGCTGGAGAAGGGTATTATGAGAAGGGTGAGTCCAAAAAAGGGTGCAGTGGATAGGTCGGAGACGCCGGAAAGGTTCCCCTATCCAATGCTCGTTTGGCCAGGTGTGCATGGCTATCATGGCTGAACAGCAGGGCCTTACTGAAAAGATGCATCACCGTCACATGTGTGTAGACTTGCTCGCTGCTGACTGACAACCAACAATCCCAACAAAAAATTATCCTTCCAAAGGGGGCGTCTATGCCCCTGTCACATCCACTCACTGGATAGGACTAAAAGCAACCCCTTCGTGACTGCTGGCGGGATGTCCTTCCTTTGGCCCTTGAGATGCCGAGGCAATTCGGCTCGGACATCGACAAGTACTACTGAGCGATCCTGGGAGCCCCGGCGCAGCTCGGCGCGGCTTCGTCGGCGCAGCTTCGTCGGCGCGGCTTCGTCGGCGCGGACGCGAGAAGCTGCTGGACGCGAGAAGCGGGACGCTGAGCGAGCTTTGGACGGGTGAGATGTGTACCGGGACCTTCCGTTTGAGGTGTCGATGAACAGCCCCTTACATAAGGTGCTTTTGGGGTGTCCAAAAACCCTTCGGGCAAACGGAAGGGTCCTGGTGGATAGAATCGGATAGAGGCAGCACTATCACGTCCTTGCTGGAAGTGGAGTCTTTTGGTGACATCCATCGCTCGAGAGTCTCGAGAGGCGCGTGACTGGACTGGCACACGCGGGCGTGTTGGCACGGAGCAATCCTGGGCTCCTTCCAATTCGCGAGCTGTGGCGCAAAAAGACGGAAGTTGATAGCGGGGGCGGCGCCGGGGTAAGTCACGGTGATGCATGAAGTAGGGATCATCTCCGGGGTAGAACTGGAAGATCAGCCTTGCATGTTGACAGGGTTCATTGATGCCAGTTCCTTCTCCAGAACCTCCAGGTCTGCTTTCGGACCAGGCCAATCACCAGTTTTTCAAGATGGTCGACCGTGACGTCCGGTGACGTCCCGTCCCAACGCGGCCCCCACCTCGCCAGGCCTGCTATGTCTTGGCACTCTTTGGCGTGAAGAACTCAGTAGTGACGCACTCGCCGTGGGCCACGCAGTTGTCGCTGTTTGCGGAAGAACACGGTCGCTGAAACCTTCAAACTGGTTGGTCTTGGTTGTGGCTGTTGGTCTTTGACCTGGGCAAAGCTAATGGCAGTAGCACTGCCCCAAAACACCACCCGGTCAGCGCGAGGTGTTCACGACCCTGTCAGCGCCTGCCAGTATGTGGGGGGCCCTAGTTTCGGCCAGCGATTTTGGTGACTTCAAAGCTGGATACACTCCCGAAAACTAACATGGAAGTGGAAAACCACCTGTTTGTAGTGGATTTTAGTTCCAGGGAGTCTATCTGAATCCATTTTTAGGCAAAGCCTTCGTCACCGTCGTCCAGCCTGATTTCCCAGCTTATCCTTCGTCGTGGTCCACCGAAGTGGCCTTGGGGTCGCGTCTTGGGGCATTTTGGTGCCAAAGACCCCTTCTTCACGGCCGACGGAACGGGCGTTGTCGCCCTCGTTTGGGCTGCCGGCGCGGGGGGGGGGAAAAAAGATCCAAACCCCGGCGTGCTCGGCGTGCTCCAACGTCACGTGCAGATGGAGAGAGGGTGGTTTCCTCTTCTTTGAAGAAACTGGATGGAGAGGGGCTGAGAGGGGGATGGGATTCCTCGCTTTTGGGCCCCGGTCCCCTCCGTCGTCTTCTTCCGGAGATGGGAAGAACCTCAGACGGGAAGGCCCGACATGAACATCTTGGTGCAGCTCCTGTGGACCCTCGGCCGCCTGGGAGCGACCTTCGGCATGGGCGTCCGGGCGCCCGGGGCGCGTTTCGGGGCGTTCGGAGCGGGGGGGGGCAGGGAGGTTCGCGGGGAGTGGGCGGGAGGCGGAAGAGACCAAAGATGACCAAAGGTCTTTGGGTGGTTTTGGATGTTTTTGGCATTGAGGCAGTTCCAACGTGCCGTGCGTTACAGGAAAAATGGACCAAGAACCTGCGAAGTTGGAGCCACCCTGCATTTGCCAGTCAATGAGGTGCCCAGCCCCCACCAGCATCGCTTCCTGGTTTCAGTCGCCATCCCTTGCGCGCATGGTTTGAATCCAGCTGACCCATGAATCGGAGTTTTTGGAGGGGGTCATGAACCAACTCACGGAAGGTTTGGTTCAGTGAGGACCCCTTTTCCTGATCAAGCTGTAGGGCCGTGACCTTGAGATCTTCACCCGTCGTTCGCGCCTGTCGTTCAAGCCGCGTTGGTTCGCCAGACGGGGCTGGGCAAATTGGCGGGCTACTTCATGAAGAATCGCAGAGAGGCGCAGTTGAGTGGTGCGTACCTTCTTTGGAGGAAAGGGAGGGAGAGGCTGTGAGGAGCCGGCTGTGAGGACACCATACCGACCATACCTTCAAACTAGACCTGTTCTTTTCTCCTGCAGTGGAACGGACTACTCTACCATAGGAAGAAGCTATGGACACTCACTGCATGGGACGGGCCGAACAGGGTCCTCAAAGGGGGCGCGGCTGTCCCGACCGAGTCGGGTCTGACCGCCCCCAATAACTGAGTCCTGTGGTCTCTCGGTGTGCACCAAAATCGACGGGAAAACAACCGTAACCATGCTGCATGCATAGATTTTCTCATAGTTAAGTTAAGACCATGGTCCTGTATAGACATTTTCTCCTTTTGAGGTGAAAAAAGGACATGGGTTTTCAGAGCCCAGCTCACCTGCCAGATCAAGATCCGAGACCGGCGCATCTTCAGCGAAAGCTCGGCCGGGACACCGAGCTGGTTGGCGCTCGGGGTTCTGAGACCCATGCCCTCTCGCATGGCCCCCATGCACACTGCCCTCTCGCATGAACGTCGTGAACCTGGATGTGTTCGACCTTCCACTGGTGCCGAGGTGGAGTCCTTTCTGATTTTACTGGCTGGGAGCTTGGTTTCGACGCCTTCACGAACAGTGCTGGGGGTGGGGCTTGATAGGGGGATTTCACCGACCAGTTTTTGTGACGAAGCGTGTCGGGGCGGCTACCCAAGCGTTGTGACCACCAAGGTGGGGGGGGGGGTTAGGTGGCAGTTCCTGACATCGGGCGGTAGTTGCAAGCAGCTTCCGCCTCACCGTTGCTGCTTCTTGCGTCAGTTTCCACCTCACACCCGAACAATCTCCACCAGGACCCGAAACCTGCCAGGTCACCATCTGCGACTTGTAAGTCTACAAAAGCCTCCATTTCGGAGACCTGGCAGGTCTCGGGTGCTGGCCGTTTGAGCAACATGAACACATCGGCTGTTCGTGTCCACCGGTGGCTGCTGAGGCTGTGGCGCTCTTTGCCTATGGGCTGGGCAGCAACTCTCCTGGTTCGCCCGGGGGCCCAGGCCTCGCGTTGGGCCTCATTGGCTCCTGGCATGGCGACTCGAACGGAGCGATCGGACGCGACGAGGCTCGGGGCTCCTGGCCTTACTACTATACAAACAAGCTTCGCTACTAGTTCTGGTGCTCGTCTGCACCGCGCCGCATGAACGCGCCGCGACGCGTGACGCGTGCGCTCAAGTCGTCGTACTCCGAGGCTGTCCTTCTTTAGCCTGGACCTCAGTGGGGCTTCAAGCCGTGTGAAGCTTTGGATGGATGTTGGATCATGCTCGAAAGGAGCATGTATTTCAATTTTCCTTTTTGTCTCTTACAGTTTTTCCATATTTCCTGTATGTTTCCTTGCTCGTCCGACTTCCGAGATATGGGCCCTCTCTTCCATCCAGAGCTCATGGTGATTGCGGGAGGCTGAGAGGTTGCCGGGCGAAATCGGAAGCTTGAGATCTCTGATGGACCCTGGAAGCTTTGGAGATGGACCCTGGAAGCTTAGCCACGCTCGCCTCGGCTTCGGCTGAAGCACCCGCGCCCGACGGCGCCCAAGCGCCGCACCGGGCAGGGCGCTCCCGCTCCGTCGCTCCGTCGCCCCCGAGGTCACGGGCTCCACCTTTGCGCAGTACTGCGACGAGAACGACGAGAACAAGGCGCTAAACCGTCTGCGGCGGTCTGGGAATTCCACCGAAAACGCGTTTTCGGTCATCCGTGTGTGACGTGTGAAACGATCTACTCAGCTACTGCGATGGACTTGCTGTAAGTCAGCCTGTTCACTTTAAACAGTCAAGGTCCAACTTGGGACCTCCAGAATTTTCAGCTTTTTCGCAAACCACGGTCCAATATGAGTTGGTGGAAGTCTAGTCTCGTTCTTCACAGACTGACTGACCGACTTCCGGATGGTCTCCGGGGAGACCAAACCACCAGACATGGGCTGTTCCAGTATGTCCACCGAGATCCGACTTACCTTGCAAGTCGGAAGCGTTTGGGGACACATCCCTTTGTTTCTGCTTGTTGGTTTCCAGGCGTCACGCTGTGTGCTTCCCCGTCCATCGTTCCGCCAAGGACCTGGCGGGGGTCCTCGATCAGGCGCGGGAAGCAGACGCGGACGCCGGTGGTCCACGGGGGGGATCCTTTGGAAGCGAGTGACCGGAGGGGTTGGGTGGACTTGGGGCACATCGGTATGATTTGGGGGCGCACCAGGTGCTGACGATGGATGCGCATGAGCTGTCTGGAGTGTAATTTGATCCAAATGCCCTTAAGCTAAGTGGAAGGGACATGTTGGGTCAATGAGGCTATGTTGGAATGCCAGCTGTGTAGATGATCCCTCTTGCATACTCTTTGCTTTCTTTTCATGTCGTGCACCACCACACTCCTTCCAGCGCGGTCCTGGCGCGGCCGCACCGCACGCGTGGTCGTCCGCATCGCCCGCATCGCCCCTTTCGGCAGGTCGACGAGGTGATGGGCGGCGTGTGGATCTTCGGCCAGCCGGGGGCGTCCCAGTCGCGCCCGGGAACGAGCGCGCGAACGAGGGGGGACTCCGTCCCCAGTCACCAACCACGGGTGTGAAGGTGAACGAAGGTGCGAACTCATGCGCGTGATCGAGTGCGAATCCGTGAGTGAATCCATTGTTCAAAGATGGATCGAAACACACAGATGGCCGATTCTGGGAGCTGTCCGATCGTTTTGGTGAAGGCGAAGAAACAGCCGTGGGCTTTTGAGCTGCCTCGACTCAGGCTGTTTCTCTTCACCATGATCGGCAGCAAGACCAGTGGGGATTCCCAGTGACTCAAGTCTGGAGCAGCTTCTCTTTTTCGATGACGGATGATTAACTATCAAAATGTCTCACCCAGCAGTCACAAAGGGGTGCTTAATGGAGGTTAGGGGTGCCCATTATCCACTTACTTAGGGACTTGGGACTCTAAACCACCCCTTTTGGTGCTTGTTGCCGAGTCCATTGTCTTCTACTGGCGTTGCGAAACGAAACGACCCACACCACAGGATTCTGGGAACCCCACGAGTTGTTTTCCACCCCTCATCACTGAGTGGTGGTTGGAATCTTTATGAAGAACAAATGGAACTTCACCACCTGCTTGTGGACTACCCCAAAGAAAGGGCAGTATTTCTCAGTTGAAGAACTATACCATGACACCTTCTTAAGATCCTACTATACATATCATTTAAATCTAT